GCAACACCGAGGGCTGCGATCCCGTTGCTGGTCCCGGCCCGGTACGGGGGCAACACTGAGGGTTGCGAGCCGTTGCCGGACCCGGAAAAAAAAAAAAAAAAAAAAAAAAGTAAGGTGAAATGAAAGTTTCTTTAAGCCTCCACTGATAAAGTCTAGAAAATAAGAGGAAAAATTTAGAGTAAAATTGTCTTATTTCCTGAGAAACTGAACTGGTACAGCCAGCCCTCTGTATCTGCAGATTCCACATACATAGACTAAACCAACTACAGATAGAAAATATTCTGGAAAAAAAAAAAAAAAAAAAAAAAAAAAAAAAAAAAGGAAAAAATGCAGTGTAACAACTATTTACATAGCATTTACACTGTGTTAGGTATTAAAAGTAATCTAGAGATGACTTAAAGTATATGGGAAGATGTGTGTACGTTATATGTAAGTACTATGCCATTTCCTGTAAGAAATGTGAGCATCTGTGAATTTTTGGTATGCCTGATAACGTGAGTGAAATCCAGTGCACAGTGAGCTGTATGCAAGCATAAGCTTTCATGAAGTAATTATTGTTTCTGAGCTATGCTGCATAAGGACATCATAGAGGGATAATCCTCTGGAACCAGCAGAAATGAATGGGAACTATACTGTTAAAAAGGGCCCTTTACAAATACCAGCAATCCAAATCTTTGTCCATGTGTAACATGAGAGAAACTCTAGAATCATGGATGGTAGGTGCACAGTCCAGTCACCTCCACAGGTAAGTGGACTCATAAGTCTTCTTGTGTGGGGAGAAATTTATGAAGTCCTGGGAACAGACCCAAATAAAGTACAAAACAGTCTGCCGGTAAATAAAATCCATCTACAAAGTAGGAAAACCAAGATTATTTATTCTGTTCATTCAAGTGATATGGTATGCTAAGTCTGTTTTGTTTTTTGTTGTTTTTTTTTTTACTACCTTTGTAAAATGGAAATCAATTTAGACTTTGATCAATTTAGGTAATTAAGAGATTAGCTAAATAGGTTTAAGAAAAAAATATATTTACACCTACAAAGAAAGAAATATCTGGATAAAAATACAAAGATGACAGAGCTTTTATTTTAGGAGGGAAACATTCCAAAGTGAAGTATTTACTTGGTGCTGTAAGCTACAAACAAAAAGCACTCTGTATTTCAAAGTATTAAGTTTTGTAATTTATTTCTCTATACTTCTGGCGCTTTCACTGTGTGGTAAGTAAGGACCAAAATCTAAGAGTTCACGATACATCTATGTTTAGTTGCTTCTATTTTTATTTACTTTCTAGTCACTAAAAAAATAAATCTTACTATGCCTCAATTATCTTGTCTACAATATGAGTTTATTATTTGTAATCCTAATGGTGTGCAACAGGATTAGTGTCTCTGACACATATCAATATTACACTGTGAAAAGAGAAAATGCTAAATTTGAATGGTAGGGACCCAATCTGAACACAATGCCTGCGGAGTATCCTGGAATTGCTTTGATTACTGTTATTTTCTTGGTCCTACATTCTCTCCTTCTGACTTCACTCTTGATTTGTATCTTAAGGTGTCTTTTATATACATCTTTTGTTACCAAACACCATTAGCATAAGCTGGAATTGTATCATCTAAACCTTGGAATCAGTAAATAAATTTATATCCCCAAAGAGCTTATTGTCAATATTATTCTGAAACATCTATTGGGTTTGCACTTCATTCCAAATTTATTTGCCCTAAGCATCAAAAAAACCCAACCTTTCACTAAGAACATGAGAATGATATAGCTCATAAAGCTAGTGATGTGGGCTTCTGAAATTATTTAAATATTAGGAAAAAAATTCAACATTTCACTACAAAATACCCATTTTACTCTGTAAAGCACAAATTTAATAAGATTCTAAATAGTGTCATAAAACTGTGGTTCTTTCCATCTGTGACCTCCAGGAGGAGCTCCTCACCCATTAGGAGTCCAAGCAAGGAGAAAGCATTTTACACACGATGTGACTTTCCTATAAATTGATTGTAGAGCTATAAAAGCCATTTAATTTTAAAAGATGTGCCAGTGAGTGGTTTATGGTGGCCACATTCAATTGCAGCCAAAGGATTAGTAAAATTATGCTAGAAAAAAAACACAGTCCTTTATGTCTTTTTGATCAAAAAAATTCCCTCTTGAATTCTGCATTCTCCTATTTTTAATTCTTCCTTTTTTTTTTTTTAAATAGCCAGTTATAAATGTTTATTTTAGCTCGGTTTGGTAGAAAGCTCTATTTTGTATATACACAAGCTACTTCTGCACATGAAATAAAAAGTAGCTAACTAAAGACAACATTTAAAGTATTATTGATTATAAATAATACAGCTAGGAAACCAAATCACTGGAACACAACTTCCAAATGGATAAATAAAACAAGAATAAATGTTATCATAGGGTGTGCTATGAACAGGCCAACTTGAAAGTTTTGGCAAAATAATCTGAAAGCTTGCACAATGCTGAATTGACACATTAGCAGCTGGGTTGATGGTAAGAGAAGAGGCACAGATGGATGTACAAATCTACTGTGTAGAACATGATGTTACTAAACTCTGAGTGAACATTTACACCCATAACTATATTAGTTGTTGACTAAGGCTCCTCTTGTCATTTCCCACTGTTCAATTAGTATTTCATGAGTTACTTGGTAATTTGAAGCAGATAAAATTACAATAGCATCATCTTGTGGTATGCCATAAAATCCCTTTTGTTCAAAATGTTCTGTTTATATCTTACATTCCATTCCTTACTATGCAATGCAGCCTCCTTGAGGGCATGACTATATATACCTGATAACACATAAATATTTTAATGATCCAATTTTGTTAAAGAAAGTGAACTAGGATGAAGAAATAAATCAACATCACTCAGTTTAACACTCAGCCTGCAGACAATAACATTCCTAAAACATTTCAGGAGGAAAAACATTAATCCTATTTCAGAAACCTTTGGGAGAATGACATTCCACAACCTTTATTTTCATTGTTAGTGAATTATTTATTTCTTCATCCTCCTGGAGGAAAGATAATAAACCTAATGAGCAATTAAATACTATGCATTCTTTCTTTTTCAATTTAAGTCCAGTACTACTTGTTTTGTCCTCTGAGTATAGACCAGCGGGTGCTATGTTCATAAATAACAATACACATGCTTAGGAAGGCATACAGTCTTTCTCCTGACTGAATAAAACACAATTTTTATGTTTTTTAATGGTTAGTAATCTGTATTTAAGTGACTTAAAATACGTACATTTTTGAACATTTGAAACAAATCCTGTCTACCTAGAGAGTATCTTTATAATTCCAGAATTATTGGCAGCATGTTATTTAGCTTTGGTACCCTAAAGACTAAAGACCACATTATTTTCATTAGAAATCACGGTTCTTAAATTCTTTGCTATATATTATATCTGCAACTTCTGCACATAGCTCCCATTCAGTTATGCACATATCCATTTTTCCATTTAGAAACTAAGTACCTTCAGAATTACATAAAAATGATCATCAGTTGTTCTTTGGACATAACACATGTTAGGCTCCCTGTGGTCTACTCATATGGAGAACTCCCAGAACTTAAATCAGCCAGAAACTTACCCCTGCTTCAAGCTAATTCCTCCTCCAGTCCCGGTGACCCAGCCCAAATGGTAAAACTGTTTGCAAAGTTCTGGGATCAGATATCTTGGATGTTCCTTGTCCTTAAAAAGAAGATAATGATTTTTAAAACAGACATGACTTTACCACATAACGATTCTAGCTGACATTTCTAATAAGAAGTCAATTTAAGGAAGTTTATGCGGCCATATAGTTCAACCCTATAGCACAGGCTGCAACAACAAAATGGGGAAATGCGAAGTATATACTGTAAAGCATCTACTGAAATGGCTGAAAGAAAACAGAATGTAATGCTGATAGAAACATGCTTCAATCTGTCCAGAAAATTTCTTTATGCAAAGCACCTTATTCAAAGGTACAAAGCACGATATACATGAGATATTATAATAGTTACATGTTCAACACATACTGGATGTTGGTTCAATTTTATTTTTATTCCAAAAATGTCCTATCTTTTTTCCATAGTAATTTTATTGTATTCAAGCAACATATACTCATGGAAAATAAAATCAAGCAATTAACATAAGCACTCAAACAATTACAAGTAATACTTGCTGGACCCAAATCTATGAAGATATGTGTTTATGGGAATATATATACATATAATGAGATAAACATCAAGCCTTATTTTTATATAAGTCCAATGATTACTTAAAAAAAAATGCAATGTTTTCCACCCTTTTTTTACAGTTTAAATTAATGAAAAGAAATACAATAAAGAAGAAATACAATGAATTCCATTTTTGGCAGTATAATATACAACCCATACCTTGAAAACAAGTAAAAATGCTGAATAAATTATTTTTGAAAAATTTCAAAATAAATTGCTGAGCTGGCAAGAAAGTAAGGTTTCACAAAGGCTATCAAAGAAATGAGAGTAAGACTCCCTGGGAGGGAAGGAAGCAACAAAGCCAGAATTTTTCTGAAGGTATTTGCAAAACTCTGGGCTTCAATTTTAAAAGCTATGCAAGTCACTAGAAACATGAGATAAAACCTAGGTACTGCTCAAAGTGGGGGCATCTGATAGAAAATCCCGACATATGCTTGAGACCACAAGGGAACAGATATACTATCAAGGTAAGAGTGAACAAGAAATAGACTCACTGTGCAGAAAAGCATAGAAAGAAAGCTTGCCTTTATTGACCTTGGCTCTGGGTAAAGGGAAAAAACATCTTTGAGTCCAAAGAGGAATCATTATTTCACAGACTGAATTTTTAGCTACTCAACTGAATATGTGAAATTATGTTATTTTTCCAAATTGACTGCTAATGTTATACATATCTATTTTATTTTAGGTAAGTATTATGAATGATGATTGACCAAGTAGCCTTCAAAATATAAAATTATGGGAGCCCAGAAATTTTTAAAAGTCCTGATTTGACTTAGGCTTAGGAGTTAGACCTAGTCAAATCTACATTACACCATTTATTGCTTACATGACTTTGGGTCTGTCCATAAAATGAGAACACTGTGAGGGTTAAAATGAGATATGATGGATATAAAGCCCTCAGTACAATGTGTGACATAATGTTAGTTTTGGATCTCATTTTGAAGAATTAAAAATGATCGAATTAAAATTAATAATAAAATCACATTGGCATTATATCTGTCCTTGCAAAATCTAGCCAAAATTATTGATGCACTGTATAACTTGCTATTTCTTTTTTTTAGGGATATAAATGATATTTTAATTATATATTAAAGTACAGCTAATGGGAAGACTCCTACAGTTTTCCAAACGTTAAAACAATCAATTTGTACAGCAAATTGCAAACATTACAGAAAATGGTCTTCCCTTTCCCTTTTGTCTTTTCCAGTTCTGAGGTATTATAGCAATTAGCCAACTTCATGCTATGGGAATAACAATAAGGCAGCTGCTGTTAATAAATTTTCATTCAATCATTCAGACCCACGAAATCACAATTTCAAGAAAATAATCACTTAGCAGGCACCAACAGAGATATATTTGGTGAAAATGCAGTCATTTATCAACACCACACTCTAACCAACTGAGCTAAATAGCTAGCCCTTGAAAATGCAGTCATTTAAACTGCCTAGAATAAGAAAGTAAAAATCAAAATATATATTTTAGCAAGAATTGATAAGAAGGAAAGGTTTAGTTAATATCTAAGTTCTCCCCTGAATGTCAATAATATTACTTGTCTGTTATTATTAGATGTGGTTTTCAGTTAGAATAAGAATTTTGAAATATATATCTAAAGATTGACTGCAATCACCTATTTACAGTAAAGGAGGGAGAAACATATTTAATAGCATTTTGTATGTATTAAAAACATTAAAGTTTAAAAAGTTTTTGGTTCAATACTTAATTTTTTCAATTTTTTGTGTAGTTATTTTAAGGAAATCAGCCTTGTCACTGAGATATCTGGAACAGTCAATAATGGCTCTAATCCACTTCCCCACCTTTTCTTTTGAGCAAATACAGGTATGTATTACTCAGACATAGTTTTTCCTGGGAGACTCTTATACAAATATGAAATAAACATGTACCAAAGATATTACTTAACTCATCAATTAATAAGGAAACCAGTGAGATGTTATGAATGGTCCAAAAGAAAATTCACACGCACACACATAAGTGACCAGCAATCCTGAATTTACAAATAAAGCAAAACTGACCTAAATCCACAGGGTAACGATAAATGAATCTCCACTGAACACAACTTGCCTTTCTATGAAATATAATCATCTGCATTACTGTCAGTAGTCCACAATTTACAGAGTTGTAAAAATGGCTTAAAGATAACCCCAAAACACCCAGTAATCTTTTTTGCTCATTTCAATGTCTTTCACAATTTTTTCTGACAAGGTCCTTAGAAAGGGACTGGATGCTGGCACAGCAAAGTTGTCAGGATTTTCTCTTTGGTGTTTTGTTTCTCTCTGCACAACTGTTTCATTCTCCTCTCTATGTATATTGGTTTTCTTTGCAACTTCACCTTCACTCAGAAGCCCTCTCTCCCTCCCTTCCACCTTTACCTGCTTAAAGACTACTTCTTCATATCAGTGAAGTGTGGACTAGAAATCAGAAGACATGGAGCCTGGTGTGAGCTTTGACCTCCACTAGCCATATGCCATAAGGCAAGTCAGTGAAACTTTCTGGGTATCAGTTTTCTTATATTAATAATCTGGATCAGGGGGCCGGCCCGGTGGCGCACTGCTACAGTGTGCCGCTTGGGAGTGCGGTGGCGCTCCCGCCGAGGGTTCGGATCCCACATACAGACCAGTTCCCGCTCACTGGCTGAGCGAGGTGTGGGAGCAACACCGAGGGTTGCGATCCCGTTGCCATCCCGGTCTGGTACGGGCGCGACACTGAGGGTTGCGATCCGTTGCCGGACACGAAAAAAGACAAAAAGGAAAAAAAAAAAAAAATCTGGATCAGTAATGGGCAGACTTCTGAATTTCAAGACCAGCAGGGATTTTTCATTTGTTTTCTTCTTTTTTTAATTTTAGGGACTGACATAAGGTTGCCTAGTTACAACATTAATTATATTTAACCATCCACTATTACCTTCTTCAAAAAACAAGGTACATATTTAACATCAGAGTAGGAAGGATAATCAAACGTAGTCTTTTAAGCTGAATGCAATTAATTTTATAAAAATTCACTTTTTCATTGTTTATTCTTATTTTGCAACCATCTAGTAAAAACTCTTTTAGGGACTCATATTTAGGGTATTAAGGTTATCTTTTCCTATTTGGTCTCCTTGCCTACAATTTCTCCTTCTACTTTACACCACGCTCCCCGCCCACTTCACTCATGACACTTTCTCTCATTCCCAGCAGGAACTGATCACCCCCTCCTCTACTTGTGTGCCACAGCATGTGCTCTGTGTACTTTCTTTTGGTATCTGTTACATATTCCTTTTACTCATTCATTCAACAAACTTTTACTGCTAAATACTGTGATAAGTCCTGAAGAAACAAACATGAGTAAGATAAAATATTTACCCTTGAGGAGCTCACCATCTAGTAAAGAAGTTAACAGTTACAAGACAAAGCAATGTATAATACAAGGTGGTCCAGGGCATTACGGGAGCCGAAGCTACTGGTGGGAGGGAACAGGAGTAGGGAAAAGGTCCCTAGAGGAAAGGATGACTGAACTAAGTCTTAATGAAGGGTGGTGGGAGAATGCTGTTAAGTAGGTGGTGAAGAGAAAGGGCATTTCATCAGGTAGAACTCTTAGTATTGGAACTTGTTATAAATTAAGTTTCTGTGGGATGGAGGTGGAAGGGAGGCAGAATATAACGGATCTTCTATACTATGCACAGGAGTTTGGACTTTATGATCAGATTTTATACTTGAAACATTTCTATAGTGGTGGTGGAGACATGAGACTGAAGGGTGGTGACCAGGAAAACGAAAGACCAACCTAGTAAGAAGGCTGCTGAAATAGTTTAAAAATGAAATTGTAAGGGAGGGATGATGCATATGAATTTGGAAGATATTTAAAAAGTTAAACAGAAAGAGAAGACTTCGGGTGAGAAAACTGAAGGAAAGAAAGGAAGCCTTCAAAGACTCCCAAGTTTTTGGTTGGCTGAATAGCTCAGTGGATAGTGATGACATTCACTGGAATGTCAGTCATAAATATTTACTGAGTGCTTCCTACGTGAAAAGCACTATTCTAGGCCCTGGGAATTCAGCCATGAACAAGACAAAGTCCCTGCCCTAGAAGAATTTACACTCAGGGGTGGGTGGGAGGAGTGTTTAAAAAGTAAACAGAAAAATAGATAAATTATAAGAAATGTTAAGAAGGAAACAAACAAGAGACTTAGAGAAAAATAGCTGGGATGGATTTTGATTAAAGTGGTCAAGAAAGGCCTGTCTGAACAGGTGCCATTTATCTAAAGAATGTGAAAAAAACAGCGTGTGCTGAATAAAATGGGTGTGAACACGCAAGGTTTTGTGTTGGGGCAGAGGAAACAACAGGTGTAAAGGCCCTGAAGTGAGAAAGTGCTTTACGGGCAGACCAACTGGCTAGAGCAGACTGATGACATGCTTAAAAGTGGCAGAAGATGAATTTGTAGAGGCCAGGTTTGAAACTTGAAAGCCATGCTAATGAGAA